ATTACAGTAGGCTATATATCTATTTATTAATGTAACGTAATGCTAATGTTTTAATTATGTTTTATTTGTAGAACATACCGTATAAAAACAGAACAAGAAAAAAGTCTAATCATGTTGTTGGCACGTAGATTGCGCCTCACTGGTTGCTTCGCGGTGCGTGTGTGTGACGTCTACGCACATGTAGCAGGTTGAAATGGCTACATGTTTAGTTTTGACATAAACAAGACACCCCTCTATTTTTTGTTAATAGTGAATTTACACTCTGGCTATATACTTTGGTTTAATACCATTTTCAGACAGTAGAGGGCACTACTGGTCCGTGGATCCATAGGGAGGAACTTTTGTTTCTGGCCTAGCCTGGTACATCAGTATTAAAGGTACACTGGCTTTGTTAAGACGTTCATGTCTGTTCCTCTGCATTATTTCACAGGTACTGTAGAACTTCATATATTCACACTCCAGTTTGTTTAGACACTAATGCGAACTTGTACGAGGTATTTGTGATGATTTGTGTGCATTTTCGAGATGTGTTAGAAGTGCGAAGGGTTGAGAATGTTGTAGTTTTCTGCCAACATCGTGTGTTAGCTTTAGCATCGTAGCTTTATACTACGTAAATGAGAGGCAATGTGAATGCTTTGTTACACGGACACACATGGTCTGAGTGTTTATAAAAGTGTTGGTTAGTTAGTTTCGTTACTTATAAAAACCGTAATGTCACGTTCATGTCTATTCCTCTTCATTATTTCACAGATCCACAGTGTCTCATGACCCGTGTATCCCTTGCTGCCGGCACAGATTTCCCCTAGGTCTGGTGCCGGTAACACACACACACACACACACGCACACAGAAGATTCCAGAAGCTTGGTACGCAATCTCTCTCCTGTGAATAAGTTACTTACCAGAACATAGCCTGCGTTCAAAGAAATGAACTATACTTACCTGAATTCTGCCTGCTTCCTGACGTCTAAATTATACCTGCCTGATTAACTGAAAAATTTTCTTACCTGCCTCCAGTAAAGGAATTTAGACTCGCCTGATGAGGCATTCTTGCTTGTACAGTTATCTGGCCTCATATCTGTTAAACTTACCTTAGTAAGGTCCACCATTATACCACCTCCTAGAGGATATTTTTACTGCTCAAAGCTGACTTTTCCACTGCTTGGGAGACAACGTTGTGATTCACTTCCACCTCGTTTTAGTTTTTGTCTGATGGTTCTCCCAAAATGGACAGGGAAAGCCAACCCTGGTCCACAAGAGCTGCAGCCCTGCTTGTTTTCCCAGCTATCCCTGCCCTATCCACTGCTAAATACCTGGGACAGGTGTGTTCAGTCAGTCAGAAGCTGGGGGATATTAATTCACTGTCTTTTCCACTCCACCACCTCCTCTGTAACTTTAATCCACAGTCACTCCACTTTACCATGCCTGGTCACCCACTGCCCTTCCCCTGTTATCCCATGCTCACTCTCCTTT